AGACATCTACCGAGCACTTCACCCAACAACTGCCCAAAATTCATTCTTTTCCAGTGCACATGGAAAATTCTCCATGAGAAACCACACGTTAGGCCAGAAAGCAAGCCTTGATAAATTTAAAAACATTGGAGTACTGTAAAGCATCTTCTTGGATCACAATCCTATCAAACTAGACATCAATAATAGGAACATCAATGGAAAAAGAGAAACATGGAAACTGAACAACACCCTACTTAAGAATAACTGGGTATTTGAAGAAATAAAAAATGAAATTAAAAAATTCCTTGAATCAAACAAGAATGAAAATTATTCAAGCGGCTAACAAACATATAAAGAAATGCTCATGATCCTTAGCCATTAGAGAGATGAAAATCACAACAACAATGAGATACTATTTTGCCCCAGCACTAGTACCAAAGATCAACAAGACAGAAAATAATAAGTGCTGGCAAGAATGTGGAGAGATCGGTACTCTCATACATTGCTGGTGGGACTATCAAATGATACAACCACTATGGAAAGCAATATGGCAAACCCTTAAAAATTTGGAATTAAAATACCATTTGACCCAGCCATTCTGTTATTAGGTATAGTCCTAAAGAAGAGAGCGCCAGGACAAGAACAGATATACCCACACTCATGTTCATCGCAGCACTATTTACAATAGCAAAAAATGGAAACAACCTAGGTGCCCATCAACAGAGGGATGGATAACCAAATTATGGTACATACACACAATGGAATATTATGAAACCCTAAAGAATAACATAGAATCTGAAAAATACTGCATAATGTGGATGAACTTAGAGGACATTATGCTGAGTGAAATAAGTCAATCACAGAAGGACAAATATTATATTAGTCCATTATTGTAAAAAGTCAAGGAAAGGTTTATATATGGAAGGAAATTTTCTTTGTTGGTTACCAGGGGTGGGAGTTAGGCTAGGGAACACTGTTAGATAGGTAGAGACAAGTATTGATTTTGGTGAAGAGAAAGGCAATGTACCAATTGTGAGTGATCAACATGGTGGCCTTGAGGAAGAGGAAAACATAGAGAGGTGCATAGGCGGTACAGACAACAAAGATGAACTCTTTTGCTTATACAGTACCATGTTGTTAGTGAAGGCAAACATTGATAGATGGGTGGACAGGCTGAACTTTTAGGTATGTCTATGTGATGGGAGCTCTGGTAGCATAGTGGCTAAGACACTTGCCTGTTAACCAGACGGCTGGCAGTTCAAACCCACCAGTCACTCCTCGGAAGGAAGATGGGGCAATCTACTTCCGTAGTGATACTGCCTCAGAAACCCAAGGAGGGGTCACTATGAGTCGGGTTTGACTCGATGGCTCATAACGACACAACAACATGTAGGAGGGAAGTGTGCCCATGACCATGTATAGGGTTGGCAGACAATGTTTCTACAAAGTGTATGTTCTGTAAGTAGAGCTGACAAGGGATGAGATTGTAGTCATTTCTTGGCCTCAGCCAGCTACCCAAATGGAGTGAATGAATAGTTGGACCTATGGGCTCGGGACCAAAGTCACAGGGGACTTCAAGTTCAATTGTCATAACATACTACACACAGAAAAACATTGTTCCACAGCCTAGTTTGGTGAGTCACAACTGGAATCTTAAAAGCTTGGAAGCAGACATCTAGTTGCAGCAATGGGTTTCTCCTCAACCAGAGCAAAGAAGAATGAAGAACACCAAAGATGCATGGAAAAAATTAGTCCAAGTGACTGGTACACCATGCTATCCTCGGTTTATATGACTATGTGACAAGAACTATATGGTGCCCGGCTACCACTGTCAACCACTCAGAGGAGGATCTATGTAGGAGATCCTGGATAGAGAGGGAGAACAATGTGGAAAAAAACTCAAAATCATTTGGGGAAAGAAAAGGGGGGGGGGGGCACATTTGCTGGTCTGATAGAGCCTGGTGGAACCACTGAGACTATTGCCCCAAGCTGCCCTTCAGATCAGGAATTGAACCCACTCCTGTGGCTTCCAGCTAAGCAAAAGACTGGCATATGAGTTGAACATTTGCATTAGCTAGATACATTCCTTGGAGAGATCAATCATGGGAGAATATCAGGGCTGTTTATGTACAGGGAGACAGTTTGGGGGCAGGAGGGCATAGGCAGAAAGGACACAGGGAAGAAATAACTATAGGGAAGAAGTGGGAGAGGAGCTGTTGTTTTTGGGGAAATCGCAGTCAATGTCATAAAACAAAGTATATGTGAGCTGCTGTATGGAAAGTGAATTTGCTCTGTAAACTTTCAACCAAATCACAATAAAAATAAAAATAAAAAAGTTACTACCTTAATCTATGAAATAATCACATTTGGCTATTAAAAGCTTTGCACAGTATTTCTTAAACTTCAGTGCATGTGGGAGTTAACTGGGATCATTTTGAAATACAGATTCTGATTCAATAGGTCCAGAATGGTGCCTCATAATCTAAATTTCTAACAACCTTCTAGGAAATGCTGATATATAACCACACTTGGAGTGGTAAGGTTCTAGAGCATATCAGGTCATAAAATTAGTGCCACTGTACAAAGAAAGCCAAACACCTAGTAATTCTTGCACAGGATTAAAGAGCTGCTTTTCTGTTTCTAATGCCTAAAGGAGCTTTCAGGCCTCCCAGCACTCCTAAATCTGCTTTCCAATATATAATCCTTTTCAATTTCATCTATAAAGAGGAAGGCTTGATAACCTCTGAAACAGTGAACAAGCTACTCATTTAGCCATAATACTCTGCAAGCTGGCTTGAACCAAAGATCATCTATTTCTAGTTCAATTCCCTCAATTTATATGCCTTCAATTGTAGAAAGGTCAAGTGACTGGCTCAGGGTCACTTATCCAATAACGGAAAAGGTCGGGACGTAAATCCAGGTCTCTGATTTCAAATCCAGTGGTTTTTCATCCATTGCCTCTAATAATGATGCATTCAAGAGACTAGGGTCCAGATTGTTTAGATCACAAAATCCCCATTCTGAATTGAATGTCTGCCTCAGGCTTAACATTACAATTTTGAACATGGGTTTCAAGTATGGGGGTTTCAGTGCAGTAAGGGGGTGGGTTTCTTCATGCTTCAAAACAAGCCTTGAATTTTCAATACAACTGTGTAAATTAAGAAGCTTATTTGGGCATGATGTAAGGGTGGGGAAAAAAACTTAGATTTTCCGTTGTGGAGAATGGGGATAGGAATTATTTATCCTATTTTCAGAAACCTGCTGATGCCTTGAAAAAATTCATACCCAACAATGTGTGGGACTCAAAGGCAGGTGAACACTTCTCCAGTAATTCTTCCCTAACAAAACCTCACTTATTTGGGGGTAGATGGTAACCTGATGCCTTAATGGAACTTATAGGCCATTAAAAATAATTGAAACCAAACTGATTTTTATAATGCGAGAAAAACAAGTGCCAGAAATGTTCAAAGAATGTTGTACAACCATATAGATATTACTGTTTGGAACTTAGACCTAGAGTTTCCCAATCTTTATTTTTAATGATCAGACCCAACTTCACACTGACTTCAGCATGAGACCAGGTAAGAGGGGTAATAAATAAATAAATATATATATATATATATATATATATATATATATGTAAATGACATTAAAGGTCTATACATGCCCTCACTGTTGTCTTTTTCTAAGCCTTTTAAAGATTTACAGTTGTAAGAATCTGGTGTGGTATACTCTTCAGCCTCTACCTCCCTGGAGTTATTGAGTCTGCTCTTGTCGACCTTATGTATAACAGAACAAAACACTTCCTGGCCCTATGCCACCCTAATGATCATTCGTAAGTGATCACAAGGCCTTGGGTACAAGGCCTGTTTCTGAACAATGAATAACAGTCCACAATGAAAATTCTATTCTCATTTCAAATAGGATTACTCTTTACGTGTGTGTGCTACATACAAGCAGTTCAGAATTGAAGAGCTCAAGTGTGAGGACCTGGCTGTCTTTTCCTTTTGGCACTGCCTCTGATACCATTATCACAAATCTTGATAAGTAAGAAAGTAAGGGTTACTAATATCCTCTTCACAGGATTAAGTAGATTTCAAGATTCTGGGATATTATTTCTATCTTTCCAGGGCTATTTCAAGGTATTCCAAGTGTGAAGGTTTAGCAGAAATGCTACAATAGGGAAAATTAGCCTTATTCTTTCCTACTACATTCCCTTAACAATCACCCCGATATTCATGGCTCAGATGCTCCCTCACCATTCTTCTAACCATGTGCTATTCCTCTCCTTCTGACCAGTACCCTATCCCTAGTTCAAGAGTTAGGTCCCACGCAGCAGCCTCTGTAAGAGCCTTAATCAATAGCTCTAGTCACAGAGCTACAGTGACTAGAGATATTGAATAATCTCTCTATCACTGAACTACTGTAGTTAAGTAACCACATCACTCATTTGGAATTTATGTTCAGCCATGCTTCTAAGAAGAAATTACCACAAGTGAATTTATTTTGCTCAAATTCCAAGGCTAAATAAGAATGGGGTATAAATGAAAGAAATATAGATAATATGCTTGAACTTTCAAAGATTTTCACGGTAAAAAGCCAAGAAGCCAGGAGGAGGATACTGGATTATAGACCGGATGGGGAGTTTTCTTGCTGTGTCTTTGAATCACAATGAGAATAATTACAGGGAATCCCGAAAATGTAGCTTCAGGATTAAGCATGGTAGTGAGAAACACTTGTCTGTTTAATATAAAGAACATTTAGCAAGTATGGCTAAATAATCATGGAAAGGGCTAACTAGAAGATACTTAGCCCCTTTGCCAATCACAGGATTCAATCTGAAACAGTCTAGGAGTCATCAGTTGGAAACATGGTGTATTCAGTGGGATAAAAGTGACATTAGTCAACTTCCAGGGTTCTTTGTTCCTCTGAGTTTCTCTGATTCTACTACAAACAACGATAATGACCTGTATACTTTGCAATCAATAATCATAAAACCATAATGACTATGAATAACTTACTGTGTTGACAATGAATCCCATTAAATCCTGGAGGACATTTACAAACATAGCCTATGAATGTGTCCCCTCGGTATGCTTCACTTATTTCACAGGTTCCTCCATTGTGGCATGGATTGGGGCTGCAGGGACCTGGAAAACAGAAAACAAAGTAGTTACACATATGCTTAAAAGTAGACATTGTGGCGGTGTTTTGCCTTTAAGAATTTTACTAAAAAAAAAAAAGTGGTTTGGATATACAAAGGATGTATACTGCACAGGTTCAGTGTAAGCTTGGGAGACCAATAGCCTGGGTTTAAATCCTGGCATTATCATTCTCTAGCCATAAAGTCCTGAGGAGTTTATTTAATCTCCCTGAGCCTCAATCTCTTCTTCTGTCAAAAGTATACACTAATAGAATCGACCACAAAGGGTTATGGTATTGATGAAAAGGGTTCATACTTACAATGCCCAGAATAGTCCCTGTCACTTATAAAGCACTCAAAAAATATTAGCACTAAATAAAATATTATAAAAGTAAAATATCTTCTACATGGTTTAAAAGTAATACTGAATGACAATGTCTAGAGTTATTGACTTTGAATAGCTTTTGTCCTCTGCTTGGGTAACAAACATACATTTGCAAATGTCCATAGCCATACAGACCAAGTGAAGTGGATAGCTACCTGTAGTACTTTTATAGACTTTTTATGAGATTGTGCTGAGCATATTGCTAAAGAAGCACAATTTTTGCCAGTCTTTGAGAAGAGTTGCTGACAGCCATTTTTAAGCTTTGTGACAGTAAATTCAGCTGAGTGGTAGGCACCCACAGTACTGAATGCAGATGAGATGTTCAGAACTCCCTCGGAAAGAATCTGCTTCCAAGAATGTAGTTAGCCGACCACCTCTAGTTACTCCACTGTTTAATCTACTGAAGCAGCATTCATGATGCAGCCACACTGCCCAAGGAGTTCCCAGGCAGTGATTGAACATCATGGAGGTAATGGTGCTGGACCAGTCCTACCTGCCCCAGGGATCCCAACTGGTGTGGCCAAGATTTTCTCAAATCTACATGGCAGTTTGAAGTTGTTTCTATGCAAACCTTCTTCCTTCCTTTTCTCCTTTCATAGGTGATGGGATTGTGTCCCAGACTGAAAGCTCATCCTACCTACTCTTGCTCCCTCCTCCTTTTGTCCATAACAGATATTTCTCCCAATAAATCTTTCCCACTTCTAATTCTTAAATCTTCCTTCTTAGGGGAGGCTCACTGACCCAGTACATAATCCAGACTGATGATTGTAAACAAGTGAAGAGGTAAGTGGAAGAAAAGAAAAGATCTCCCAGAGCAATGAAGACAGACCATGTAAAAAAAAATAAATAAATAAAGGTCAGTCCCATGGTTGCATAGTTTAAAATCAAGAAGGCAAGAAGGAAGTGTGTCAGGGTTGTATCCTTTCACCATATGTATTCAATTTGTATGCTGAGCAAATAATGTGTGAAGCTGGATTATATGAAGAAGAATGTGACATCAGGATGGAGGGAAGACTAATTAACAATCTACGATATGCAGATGACACAACTTTGCTTGCTAAAAGTAAGGATGACTTGAAGCACTTGCTGATAAAGATTAAAGACTATAGTCTGGAGTATGGATTACACCTCAATATCAAGAAAACAAAATCCTCAAAACTGGTCCAATAAACAGCTTCATGATGGATGGAGAAAAGATTGAAGTTGTCAAGGACTTCATATTATTTGGTTCTACAATCAACACCAATGGAAGCAGTAGTCAAGACATCAAAGAACATATTTCATTGGGCAAGTCTACTGAAAAAGACCTCTTTCGAGTGATTAAAAGCGAAGATGTCTCCTTGAACACTAAGGTGTGCCTAAACCAAGCCAAGGTTTTCAATTATCTCTTATGCATATGAGAGCTGGACAATGAATAATGAAGACCGAAGAAGAGTTGATCCTTTGGAATTGTGGTGTTGAAGAATGCTAAGAATACCATGGATGGCTAAAAGGACTAAGAGATCTGTCCTGGAAAAAGTCCAGTGGGAATGTTCCTTGGAAGCGAGAATGGCCAGACTCATCTACCTTGGTCATGTTGTCAGAAGGAACCATTCCCTGGAGAAGGATATCATGTTGGGTAAAGTGGAAGGCCACCAAAAAAGGGAAAGGCCCTCGATGAGATGCACTGACACAGTGGCTACAATGATGGGCTCAGGTATAGCAAGGATTGTGAGGCTGGCAAAGGACTGGGCAGTGTTTAGTTCTGCCTCAGCATAGGGTTGCTATATGAGTCAGAGACGACTTGACAGTCCCTAACAACAACATGGTTGTGCACTCGATCAACTCCTAACTATATCTTTAAGAATTTGTAGGACAGTCAGGCTAGATGCATATGGGTCTTATTTAGCATTACTTTAGTGCAGGAAAGAGCTTGGTGGTGTAGCGGTTAGGGCATTTGGCTGCTAAACAAAAGTTCAATGATTTGAACATACCAGCCTCTCCAAGGAAGAAAGATGAAGAAGTGTGTTTCTGTAAAGATTTACAGCTGGGGAAAACCAAGGGATCACAATAAATCAAAATCAACTGGATGGGAGTAAGTTTGATTTTGTTTGGGTTAGTGCAAGAAAAGGCTCAAAAGCCTTGTTGATAGTTTAAAAGTTGCATGTGCAGCAAGTGAAGGTAACTGTTAGAAGAATTTGTTGTGAGTAGTGGTTGGCTGAATCATTTCAAAGTGAGGGCAAATTTGTATAACATTAAAGCAGGGCTTCAAAGATGGTTGGGCCCCACTCAAAGATGGCGGCTGACCACACCACTTTGAATATACGTGACTATCCACAGTCCTGCCAATAATCCATTGTTATGTATCAGGCTCCTGAAGGGGTTCACTATGCCTTTTTTGAATCTCCCATTCCAGGGCTTTGACTCATAATTTTTCTTGTTCTGCTTATGGTAATGAATCACTCAAATTGTAAGCATCCTGTTCTGTTCCTGTTTCACTTTGTGGGCCATGACAGAACTGGTTGGAAGCCCTGCATTAAAGGGCAAGTAGGAGTTGTCCATAAGATTGATGTCCATAACCCAAAGATTGCCTGTATACAACATTCTTTAATTTTGGCTTTTTTTTTTTTTTTTTCTCTTAATTGGAGAGACTAGAACATATTTATAACTGAATCAAAAGTCACTGAAGAGAAAGTTAAATTCTACATACTAGAAATGGAAAGAGAGAACAATCAAACCCAGTGTCTGAATTGACCATGTATAAAGAGATGAATTCCAGAGTCCTGGGGGAAGGATGAGTCAAGAAAAGGAGCAAGTGCTTTTAGCTCATACTGGAAGGGAGGAAAATGCAAGCATATGGATAACCTGAGGCAATGGTCTGTGTGTGTGTGTGTGTGTGTGTGTGTGAGGGAGATGGGAGCTCCACCAGTCCACCAGTCAAGACTTGTCATAGACAGCCTTGTTGTTGTTGTTATGTGCCGTCAAGTCAGACCCCACTCATAGCGACCCCTCCTTGGGTTTCTGAGGTGGTATCACTACTGAGGTAGATTGCTCAACCTTCCTTTTGAGGAGTGGCTGGTGGGTTTGAACCGCCAGCCTTCTGGTTAGCAGTCTAGGGTCTTAGGCACTAATGGCTACTAAAGCAATGGTCACTAGTATTGAATGACTCAAAAAACAAAAAAATAACATGTGGTAATTCTGTGTCTTCTTAGCTAGGCTGTGATTTTCAGTAGTTTGGCACACACTGGACTGACTGCTGTTCCATAATGCAATGCGATAAAATGTAATCACCTTCCATGTTGTGATCTGATGTAATCATCAAATTAATTGGAAGGGGAGTTTCTTTGGGAGTGTGCTCTGCCTTCAAAATATAATGGATATTTTGGAAGATCGCTCTCTCTCTCTTGACACTATATTCTTCTTGTCACCTGACTTAAGAGATGTAAGTCTGCAGAACTCTCCAGCCTGCTGACTAACCTAAGGATTTTAGACCTGACAACCCAATATACACATGCACATGTCTCACTTGTTTTGCTCCTCTGTTGTTGTTTTCAGTACTCTTGAGACAGATTCAATTCATAAAGACCTTAGGGACAACAGAAGAAAACACTGGCTGGTACCACACTGTCCTTACAATATGCTTGAGCCCACTGTTGCAGCCATGTCAATCCATCTCATTGAGGCTTTTCCTCACTTTTTCTGACCCTCTACTTTACCAAGCATAATATCCTTCTCCAGGGACTGTTCCCTTCTCACAGCATGACCAAGTTATGAGCAACAAAGTCAAGCATTCTCAATTCTAAAGAGTATTCTAGGTGTACTTCTAACACAGATTTCTTCTTTCTTCTGGAAGTCCATGGTATATCCAATATTCTTCATCAACACCACAACTCAAATGAATCAATTTTCCTGGGGTCTTCCTTATTTCCTCTCTAGCTTTCACATGCATATGAGACTATCAAAATTGCAATGGCTTGAGCAGGTACACTTTAGTTTCAATGTGACATCCTTGCTCTTAAATACTTTAAGGAAGTCTTTTGCAGCAGATTTGCCCAATGCAGTAAGTCATTTGATTTATTAATCACTACTTCCATGGGTATTGACAATGGATACAGTTAAAATGAAATCTTTGATAATTTCTAATATTTTTGCATTCATCATGATATTGCATATGGGACTTTTTGTGAAGATTTTGTTTTTCCTCTGTTCAGGTGTAATCCATACTGAAGGCTGGAGTCTTTAATCTTCACTAGTAAGTGCTTCAGATCATCTTCACTTTCAGCAAGAAAGGTTGTGTAATCTGTGTATTGTAGGCTAATAATGAGTCTTCCTCCAATCCTGATGCCTCAGTCTTCTTAACATACTCCAACTTCTTGGATTATTTTCTCAGCATACAGGTTGAATAAGTATGGTGAAAGGATATAGCCCTATCCAGAATTTAAACCACACAGTATCCCCTAGCTCTGTTAGAAGAATTGCCTCAGTCTATGTACAGTTTCCACATGATCAAAATTAAGTGTTCTGGGATTCTCATTCTTTGCAATGTTGTCCATAATTTGTTATGATTCCCCACAATCACATGTTTTTGTTGCATAGTCAATAAAACACAGATAAACATCTTTCTGATATTCTTTGCTTTCAGC